TTAACCAAATATATATATATATACAAACACACACACACACACACACACACATATACTGTTTTAGCTATATATAAATCTTTTAAAAATAAACTTGCATATAAGTTCTCTTTTAATTCCATTTGCCATGAACTTTTTGAAGTCCCCTTATATTTGCAGAAAAAGTAAAAACTCTAAATATTTGTTATGAGAACAAACTGCCCCTAAAAAATCTGTAAAGCGTTCAGGAGAAACACTTACTAAAACTTATCTGAGGAGTTTCTAGACAAAGCTATTAATCTTGTCTACCAGGTCAATTTGACTTAGATGATGTGCACATAGGATCTGTTTTGTCTTAGCCATTTGGAGCAATGTTGCATAATTCTTTGTTGCTTGTCTATATATTTCTTATCTACTCCCAGAAATAACTTCCTTAAAATTAATCAGAAGTCTTCTTTTCAGTAGCCTTTTTTAGACATAGTACCATCTCTATCCCTAAAGACACTTGTAATCAATCATTTTCCGAAGAAAGTGATGTTCAACCTGTGAGAAATTCATCCTCACTTACATAAAGCCCACCTTTTCAGGCAAAGCCAATATATATTTGCTGAATATTGATAAAAGAAAATTTACTGTCATGGAATACATAAATTCAGACTAGAATTTAACCACTTCGCAGCACTTCCCAAGACTCATTAAAGTCACTGGGCTTGTTTCTGGGTATAGGTTACTCTTATTCTGCTCTCAACAAAATCTTTTTACAGAGCCTGCTTTGCTTCTGTTGACATAAGCTTTTAGCACTATTTCAAATTTTTAGCAGGGCTGGTTTTAATTATTAAACATAAAAAAATTGCTACTATGTCGTGGTTAATTATTAGGCATGCTGAGCTAGAAATCACAACACCAAGTCAGTTATTTCCATAGCAACCTGTACTCCTACTACCTCTACCTCAAATAGGTAAGGCCTGGCATTGCTTTGTGGATTTAAAAAAAAAAAAAGAAATCTGCAGCACCATAGCTCACTAGGCTAATCTTCCGCCTGCAGCGTCAGCAACCCGGGTTCTAGTTCCAGTAGAGGCACCGGATTCTGTCCCAGTTGCTCTTCTTCCAGTCCAGCTTTCTGCTGTGGCCCGGGAGTGCAGTGGAGGATGGCCCAAGTGCTTGGGCCCTGCATCCGCATGGGAGACCAGGAGAAGCACCTGGCTCCTGGCTTTGGATCGGCACGGTGCGCCGCCAGAGCGGCCATTGTGGGGTGAACCAACGGAAAAAAAAGGAAGACCTTTCTCTCTGTCTCTCTCTCACTGTCTACTCTGCCTGTCAAAAAAAAAATCTGTCCTTTTTTTTTATGAAATGTTGCCTAATATGTCTTTAGCCTACCGTCTTCCTTCTGCTATCATTTACAAATCAATTTTCAGGAAAAAATAAAAGCATGAAAAGGTTAACATAATAGACTGCAGAAGAAATAAGATGGTTCTTACATCAAATTAACATCTCCATTAAATAACACAAAGAAAATATTTTGCTTGGATTAAATAAAAATTACCACCTTGCCAAAATGTTAATGCAACACTACTACAGATTTAATAATATATAAACTGGTTAACCAATACTTTTATAAAAAAAAAAATATGTGTACCAGTGGCACATTTGTCCAGTTTGCAGGTTTAATTAGCACTATTGGTTTATTTCGGGCCAAAATTATTAGGTAAGATTTAAATAATATAAAAAACAAAACAAACAGCACAATTGATAAGTAGTGCAATAATCAGTGAAAGGGGCTAGTCCTGTGGTACAGCGGGTAAAGCTGCCACCTGCAGGCTCCCACCCCATATGAGTGCCAGTTCAAGTACTGGCTGCCCTACTTCCAATCCAGTTCCCTGCTAATGCACCTTGGAAAGCAGCAGCAGATGGCCAAAGTGGTTAGGCCCCTGCATCCACATGGGAGACCTGGAAGAAGCTCCTGGCTCCTGGACTCAGCCTGGCCCAGCTCTGGTCTTTAAAGCAAATGGACAATCTCTCTGTCTCTCCCTCTTTCTCTGTAATTCTGTCTTTCAAAATAAATATATAAATGAATCTTTAAATATATATATATATCAGTGGAAGAGGAATAAATAAATAATAAAAAATAAAAATAAATAATAGAGTGACTACTTTCTATCCTATTCTCATAATTTTTAATAAGGATAATTCATAGGATTATTTCATCAAAAACATGTCAACTTATAAAATTGGAACTTTTTTAAGTCAAAATTTCTGTTGTAGCTAATACTGAATGAGAATGAACTTTTTAAAAGTCATATACTGCTGGGGCCAGAGCTGTGCTGCAGCAGGTAAAGCCGCCGCCTGCAGTGCCAGCATCCCATATGGGCACCGGTTTGAGTCCCAGCTGCTCCACTTCCAATCCAGCTCTCTATATGGCCTGGGAAAGCAATAGAAAATGGTCCAAGCCCTTGGGCTCCTACACCCAAGTGGGAGACCGGAAGAAGCTCCTGGCTCCTGGCTTCAGATCAGCACAGCCCAGGCCATTGTGGCCAAGTGGGGAGTGAACCAGCAGATGGAAGACCTCTCTCTCTCTCTCTGCCTCTCCTTTTCTCTGTGTGTAACTCTGACTTTCAAATAAATAAATAAATCTTTAAAAAAAAAGAAAGTCATATTCTGTTGACACCTTTTTTTTTTTAATAGCATCTGTGACATTGTTACTGACCTTGACTTTCAAAAATCAAAGATTTAAAATGCTCAGGGAAACTGACCAAATAAAGATAGAGTTATTACCAAATTACTAATAAGAAAAACAATCCAAATGCAAGTATTATTTTTAGAGCCTCACAAAGTACAAACAAACAAAAAAACATACACAAACATGCTCTATCATTGGTACCCATAGAGCAATAAGCAATGGTGGTAAACTATGAAGAATACAAATCATAATAATCCTGACTTAATAACACAACATCTACATTCAAATATGGCAGACAAAAAATACAGCCATAAATCTCAGATGGTTCCTCAGTTTCTCAGTTCCTGTCTGTCAATCCTACTTTCTTTCACTAACAGGTTCTACTCAAAGATCATTTTACATCTTCTTCCCAATCTCTAACACCCATTCTCCATCACCACTTTCAGCTGGCAACCTCACTTCATTAAGCTGGAAGACGGAAAGTATTCATTTTTCTATCACCAAACCTATGATTCCACCAGAGTCTGTACACTAGTACTTTGCCATTCCTCTTCTTATTATAATTAATGGACAGTAATCAGCTCTTTACTAAACCCAACTCTTCCCACCTTTACTCTTGAGCCAAATATAGTCAGGCTTTTCTACTCACTAGATCAGAAAACCCACATTTATCAAAGTGACCAAAGAAACCTTCACATTACCAAATCCAATGGTCGTTTCTCCTTCTTCCAAAATCTCACTCAACTTCTCAGAAGCAGCTGACCTGTTCATTCAGAACTTCTTTCCTTTCTTCTCTGGCTTCTGAAACACCATACTCTTCAAAACTTTTACTCCTTCCCTCCCTAGCTGTACCTTCTCAGTCTAATTTGCAGAAATCATCCTTTCTCTTCCAAACAAGCTCAGATTTTCATAATTAATAATTTCCCACATGCAAAAGCCTTCAATATCATTTAAATGCCAACTGCAACTAAATAGGAGGATCAACATCTACCCAGAGCCCCAAGGCAGTGACCCTACATCACATGTGAATCTCTAATGGGTATTTCATGCTTTATATGTCTATAATAGCACTATAATTTTTTCACATCACACAAAACTTGTCCCTTTCTCAGTTTTTTTCCAATTCTGTATAAGGCACCAGCATCACTCCAATCCTAACACTTGCCATCCTAATCCAAGGCTCTATCTGAGTAAATGTGATACCCTACTAAGTGATCTCCCAGACTCCACTCTTGTCTCTACACTTCTCTCTCAAAACAGCATCCAGGCCGGCACCGTGGCTCACTTGGCTAATCCTCCACCTGCAGCACCAGCACCCCGGGTTCTAGTCCCAGTTGGGGTGCCGGGTAATAGTCCTGGTTGCTCCTCTTCCAGTCCAGCTCTCTGCTGTGGCCTGGGAGGGCAGTGGAGGATGGCCCAAGTGCTTGGGCTCTGCACCCGCATGGGAGACCAGGAGGAAGCACCTGGCTCATGGCTTCAGATCGGCACAGCGCCGGCCACAGCGGCCATTAAGAGACTGAACCAATGGAAGGAAGACCTTTCTCTCTGTCTCTCACTGTCTATAACTATCTCTCTGTCTCTCTCACTGTCTAACTCTGCCTGGCCAAAAAAAAAAAAAAAAAAAAAAAGCATTCAGAAAGATTCTGTCAAAATATAAGCCACATCACAACATACCCCTGTTAAAAGATTTCAAATGAACCCCCATCATCTGAAACAAAAGCAATCTTTACAAATATAGGCAGTGAGTTAATTTTTCCCAGAGGGTCACAGTTTGTCAAACCCTGTTATAAATTCACTGTCTCTTTGATAACAATATTTTAATAGTAGCATTTGGAATGGAAGTGACTGCAATGGAAGAGATAACAGAGTGCAAAGAAAATTCACAAAGAAAAATTTCTACTTACCCGTAATGATTTGCAAAACCATATATATACATATATATATAATGTAAGTGAATTTAAGATGCTTTCTCTGTAATTCATGATGTATTACTCCAAATATTTGTCTTTTACCCCCTCATGGTATAATGATGAAGAACTAAAGGAACATTAAGACACAATAGACCAGCAGTAGTCTAAACTAGCAGCACATTGCTGTTCATTAAACCCTGTCCAAAAACTGTCTCTTAAATTGTAGATAGACTATATAATTAGAATCCTATAGAAGTAACAAGAGTCTGTATCTTAAAACAAAATTTCATGTCTACTTCTCAGCCAGATCAATTCCAAAATGTATATTTCTGTCTTTTAAAAGATTTAATTAAATAAACCTAGATTACAGAACATCAAATCTCTCTGAAAAGAACCAGATCCTCAAATTTCAAAGGTACCCTAAAAAGACATCTTACCTTAGATGCCATTCTCATAAAAAGCTTGTTCTGATTTTCTGCTGTTCCCATCTTCTCATTTTTGACTAAATCATTTAGGCTTAGATTATCATCATCATGAAAGTATCTGACTCTTTCTTTTTCCTCATGGGTTGAAACCTATGACAAAATAGACATTAATTTAGTGACAACATGAATCTCCAAACTATTCTTAATGAGTTATCTATAAATCTGACATTAAGTGTAAATATCCCACTACATATCACAACCTTTTCTCCCAGTTTACCCCTATTCTACTTGCTTCCATGTGAAAGAATTTCCATTAAAATTATAATCCCTTGAGGCTGGCACAGTGGTATAGCGGGTAAAGCCACCACCTGCATTGCCGGCATCCCATACGGGCACCAGTTTGAGTCCCAGCTGCTCTATTGCCAATATAGCTCTCTGCTATGTCCTGGAAAAGCAGTAGAAGATGACCTACGTCCTTGGGCCTCTGCACCCCCATCGGAGACCTGAAAGTAGTTCCTAGTTCCTGGCTTCAGATCGGCGCAGCTCCAGCTATTGTGGCCATCTAGGGAGTGAACCAGCAGATGAAAGATCTCTCTCTCTCTCTCTCTACCTGTACTCTCTGTAACACTGCCTTTCAAATAAAAGCAAATAAATCTTAAAAAAAAAAATACACTCCCTCTACCTTCTGCCCTTCTACTCACCTTTTCCCCAAAGATGGGAGCATGACAGTATCTATTTTTTGAATTTTGTTTTAAGAGAAAAATGATTCTGCCTGTTTTCTTTTCTCCTCCTAGTTATAAAAGACTGCAATTATCCAGAGATGTAGTAAGTATATCAGAAACAGAGGTGAAATATTAGCAAATCCACTGCTTTGAATTTAATGTTGGAATCTTCCACAAGTTCCTATGTTCAGATCCCAACGTGAGAGCATTAGGAAGTAAAGTCCCTGGGAAGTAATTAGATCATGAAAGTGGAGCCCACAGGCACGGCCTTGGTTATCCTGAATACCCCTATAAAAAGACTTCGAAGGAGGTGTTTCTCTTTCTCCCCTATCCTCACTCTGGTTTTCTCCTCTTACCCTCTTACTCTTTGTTCTCTGCTATGTGAGGATAAAGTGAAATCACCATCTACAAACCAGGAAATATGCCTCACTGGACACTGAATCTGCAGTACCATTATCCTTGGCTTTCAGAACTCTAAGAAATAAATTTCTATTGTTTAAGGCAAATAGTCTATGGTACTCTATTATAGAAGCTAAATTGATTAAGACATTAACTTTTAATTATTAAACTCTTCTTCTATAAATATCTTTATTAGAAACAAAGTCAACATTCTGATACTTATTTAATTCATTCTTGGTCTTTCTTCTCAGTTGGTTCCACCTCCAGGCATGGAATAGAATAGTGCTATTTATTTCCTCCCAAATCAAATTTCCCCAGCGCTGCTCTCACAATCCCTTCTCCAAGTAAAATCTGGTCTTCAATTTCTTGGAGATCTTTGGAACCAGAGTCCTGCTATTGTTCCCAATGTTACTATTCTTGTCTTGGCTAACTTAAACCTCATGGTTCCATGACCTCAATCACCCCCCTAGAACTTAAATGTCTAGCCTTTTTGTCCTTTATTACACTCAAAGAGCAAATCCCAACCCTGAATGAATTTATCTTACTTCCTTACTCTTAATTCAAAAAGGTCTTCATGTCTAACTGGCAATGTGTTTATAAATCCCTAAACAGTTCAGTCATTTCATGTAATGGAAACTTTCACTAGTCTCCTGCCACATCTCTGCTCTAATCCCCTAAATCCTATTACAGTAGAAGAAATAGAAAGAATTAATTATTATCTCCAGCGCATAAGCACTCAATGGGCAAATAATAAAGATTTGAAGAAAAATTCCAAATCAACAACTATTTTGTATATTAAATTATCACTTGTGTGATCTATCCAAACTAAAACACAAAATCTAATTTGAGAAAACTCAATACATGTTTTTGCCTTCTCAAAAGCCTCAAGGTAGTACCAAAAACTAATTGACAGAACTGGAAGATGGAAAAGAAAATTAGGTGTATAAAGAATCATAGCAGCTACATAATTAAGACATTACTAGATATGGATGCCCCATCACCAGAACTTAAATTAGCTGTCTAACACAAGTAATAGATTTGGGAGAGCATGGTACTTTCTAAGAGCTGCAGTAAATATGCAAAAAGAAGCTTAAAAATTTCAAAGAAAAGTAAAATTAAAATTGTCATAGATATTCAATATTTACAATTATTTGAAAAAAACACCATGGAGCTAGAACCCATTTTATAAAAGGCAAAGGAATATAACTAAAAATAAAAGTAATAACATAATTTACTACCTAGTGTTCCATTAGGGAGCTACATTTCAGAAAATATTTTGTGGTCTGACGCAAAAAAAGCCTCAAGGCATAATAGCAATTCTGATATATGCAACATATACCATCTGTCTTTTGCTTCTCCCTCCTTTCGCTTGCAGAGGATTTCCTGGTGTGTTCACAGGCCACACTCTTCCAGACTGATCTGTCCTGACAAGGACCACTTCCTGCTGGTCTTCATTCTATGGAAAGATTTAGAGAAACTTTTGAAATTATTGTGAAGAGCGCTGAATGCTTATAGTATTTAAAAAACACAGAAAATTTTAGTTTTCACATAATGTTATACCTTTTCTTTTTTATTTATTTGAAAGACAGAATGACAGGAAGGAAGAGACAGAGAAAGAGATCTTCCATGTACTGGTTCACTCCTCAAATAGCTGAAATGATTGGGGCTGGACCAAGCCAAACAGCAGGAAAAGGGAGAGACAGAGAAAGAGGGGAGAGAGATCTTCCATCTACTGGTTCACTCCCCAAATGGCCAGAACAACCAGGGGTGGGCCAGGCCAAAGAGAGGAGCCAAGAGCTTCATCCAGGTTTCCCTCATGGGTTTAGAGGCCCAAGCACTTGGGCTATCCTCTGCTGCCTTCCAAGGTACACTAGCAGGGAGCTGGACTAGAAGTAGAGCAATCAGGACTCAAATTGGTGCCCATCTGGGATGCTGGCACTGCAAATGGTGGCTTAACCTGCTGTACCAAAGCGCTTGCCCCATTAACACAATATTTAAACATCACAAAAGAGAGTCCACCAGGCAATGTTTGGGAGCATAATCACTAATATAGCAGATGTCATGTTTAATGGACATCTCTCAAATTTAAAGATTCTACTAAAGCTTTACTATAATAAAGAAAGCAACTAGATGACTAAACAAATTTGCTAAATTAGCTACTTTAATGTTATTCCAGATACTTCGATTCTATTAACAGCCCTTAAATGCTTTCCATTTCTGACTCTTCAGAAGAAGTGATTTTCCACATATCTTAAAAGCCATAATCTGTGTCCTGCGAACTTTTAGCCCAATACATGCCTGGCACAGTATGGCATAACAGTAAACTTTGCTCAATGATGAAAATGAAATATTACTGAAAAGGTTCTAAGAGTCAAAAATAATACTAAGGAATAAATCCATAAAAAATCAATGTGCAACAAGGCAAAGTAATTATTCATATTATAATTTCTTTTTAAATCAGAATCAAATATAAAAAATCAATTTCAATTCCATGTCACAGATATTTAGCTCCTGTAAAAATGTCCTAGTTTTTAAAATGGATTTTTAAAAAAACCACATACCTATTATTGATCTTCCATTCACACACAATCCTGACTATTAATCAGTACATGGTTCTCAATGAATTAATATTAATTAATAAAGTGTCATATTTTAAAGGACCTCCGTATTGGTTCCCTTACCACATAACAGAGATAAACAACACACTTATAATCTGGCTTCTAGCTTTATCAAACTACTAAAGCCAACCTGCCTATGGACTTTCAAGTTACCACAACCATTAAATATTTATTAAACTATCATCTTCCTAGACTTGAAAGCTTTTGACTCTGTTTATTACATTCGGCAGTCTGAGACTCATCTGCCTTTACTCTCTGACACACTTATGTATTCATCAAATATTTTTCAAGTGTATATCTTAATTTGTTAATTTAATAGCCAGAAGAAATATAGTCCCTGCCTTCAAAAAGCTTATAGCTAGTACCAGAATTACTCCTTACAAATTACCAATATAAAGTCATGTTCACTTTCTCCTTCATGTCCAGCTACCCCTCAAATGCTGATGACTCCAGGGTTCCTTGGTTTCCGATTTTCCTGACTGAACCTAAGCATCACTCATACCCTCAAAGAATTCATTGTATGAAACACAAAAATAATCGTGCCATTCTTTGAGACCAGGTATCACCTAGGAGATCAATCACTCAAGTACAGCCAACAAAACAGTGCAAATCCAAGAATTACTAGCCATGAAATATTTGTTACTTCTCCACAATAAGCTAAGTACAGAAACTGAGTGTCTATACACGTTTGAGGCAACCACTTAAGTAATTTTATGTTGATTAATCTAAATAAAATATGGAATTTTTACTTCAAATATCTTTATTTCATTTTGCTGTACTTCATTGTCTTGTATTCTATAAAATTATTCATCCATGATGGTCTGTAAAATTAAACAAGGTAAATAGATACATAGATAGATAAACAGACAGATCGATCAATTCTACACCACAGTACTGAAGAGTGGAATTAAGACCTAGCACTTTAACATAGTATACAAGGCCTTCAAAATCTGGCTGTAGACTTCTTTCCTATCTCTTCATAAATTTTGTAAATTTACTGCACATTTTACTTGTCTGTTCTTGCTCAATTAGACAATCAAGAATTTAGTAACAGCTAATGCTCAGTTACCAAAAAATTTAAACCATATTTATATTGCTAAACCATAACCCTTTCAGCAACTATTAGTCTATTTCTAGCTTTTGTCTTTAACATTTTTTCATATGGATGCCGGTGCCACAAGAAGAGGCCTAACCTACTAAGCCACAGAGCTGGCCTCTAAATAAATCTGTAAAAAGAAAAAGAAACAGATTAATTTTACTCTGAAAGTTAACCTACTTTCTCTCTTAGTCTCTTCTCTTTTACCTTTGTCTACTTTCTTTTCCTAGACCTGCCCATACAAAAGATCCTAAGTTGCCCTTTATGGGAACCCAAGACAGAATACACTTTATCCATGCTTTTTACATTAAAATCAAAGATACTGGGGCTGGCATTGTTGTATAGCGGGTACCTGCAGCACTGTCACCCCACATGGGCCCAAGTCAATTCCAGCTGCTCCACTTCTAATCCAGCTCCCTTCTAATGCACCAGAGAAAGCAGAGAAAGATATCCCAAGTATGGCAGAGGCTTTTGTCTTTTAATCAAATATTTTTCTAACTGACATGATTAAAGTTGTGGTAGAAGCTTTCCCAAAGTCAGAAGAAGAAAAAGGGAGGAATCTGTCCTGGGAATGAAATGTGGTTGTAATCTGCTTGCCTGTGAATGTTTCAACTATAGTTATTATCTGCTTTTATGTAACTATATCAAGTTCTGTTTAGAGTACAGAACAATGGGTGTTAATCCTTGCCAGGCAATTCACCACTCAGTGTGTGTATATCAGAAAAAAAAATTTATCAGTAGCTATGTATGCATGTACAGTATTGTATAAATTCCTGTGGCTACCATGTAACGTTAGAGTATCCAATCAAATGTATACATGTAACCATGTAAAAGAAACAAAGAGGCTGAAAACCATATTTAAGAAAATATCCGTTTCTTCTGGGCTCAGGCTTTTGGATAAGGAAATCCACCTGGACCTTATGCCAGCAAAAATAATAAAAGACTACTTTCTGTTAAAAGGCCCTGGTGTCTCGTCTCTGTACACAAATCCTTCTACACAAGTACTTGGGTGCATACATGTGGGGGACCCAGAAGAAGCTCCTGGCTCCTGGCTTCAGGTTGGTCAGCTCCAGCCTTTGTGGCCATTTGAGGAGTGAACCAGTGGATGAAAGGCTCTCTCTCTCTCTCTCTCCCCCTGTAACTATGCCTTTCAAATATATACATCAGTCATTTTAAAAAGTGAGGGAGGGCTTTAAAACAAAACAAAACAAAAAACAAACAAACAAACAAAATAAAAAAGATAGAAAGAAAAGTTCAGGGGCCAGCATCATGATGAAGTGGGTTAGGCCACCACCTGTATATGTTGCCAGCATCCCATATGAGCACATATTCAAGTATCGGTTGCTCCACTTCTGATCCAGCTCACTGCAAATGAACCTGGGGAAGCAGCAGAGATGTCCCAAGTGCCTGGGCCCTGCCACCTGTGTGGGAGATCCAGAAGGAATTCCAGATTCCTGGCTTTGGCCTGGCACAGCCCCAGTTGTTGTAGCCATCTGGAGAGTGAACCAACAGATAGAAAATCTCTTTCTCTCTCTCTCTCTCTTCCTCCTCTCTGTAAATCTGTCCTTCAAATAAATATAAAAATAAAAAAAAGAGGGAGAGAGAAGTTCATTCTATACAGAAAATATGCAAAAGCATTTTCATCATCCATGCGATTAGTGCTTTCCAAAGAAAACAGACACAATTTTTATAACTAGAGAGCATTTACAAAATCTTTCCCTTTTCTCATGAATATCAAATGCTCTAGATTTTTAAATAATCCCCAACAGCTGCAGATAACTATGCAGGATTTTATATTTTGAAAACATCAAAACCAAGTGATATGTTATAAACATTTTATATGGACATTTTCATTAACAAATATAGAAATGTTCTGGGATCATTCATTCATTATCCATAAAATAGTCCTTTAACTGACAGAAATCATGAATTCTTATTTTAAAGGGAGAAAAGAGAAAACAAAACACTTTAATGTCATAAAATCATTTTGCCGACATAACCAGGGATGAACTTTCCCTATTGGCATATTTGTGAGGAGATAAACAGTTTTCTCCCACAAACTGCATCATTACATTTATAGTAACAAACAAATCAATTTACCAGCAAAACATACCTCCAGGTCTAGTCATTCTGAATTTCCACTTAACCCAAAGGATATTAAAAATTTAACTATCTTCCCAGCTTTCCAAGCCAAAGACCAAGCTGCACACAATTTTGTACTATACAAATGCTGAATAAATGGAATTAATAATTAACTGGTGACTCAGAAAGATTAATTATTCTCGAAAAGCTAACCTATTTATACTTCTACTTTCCCTTTCTGCCCGCTTTTCCATTTTTTTCCCCTCAGGTCTAATAATATGAATTAAACTAAGTTTTTCCATTTTGAGTGCCCAGAGAGAAATATTGAGGAGACCAGAAAGACTGAATAAATTCTTAATCTACTACCACATTAATGTAGATTGTAGGACCCATTTAAGAATCTATATCAGAGTCAACACAGTATGGCATACTGGCCAAATCCAGCATGCTACTTGTTTGTATTCAGCCCACAAGCTAAGAATGGTTTTTATATTTCTAAACAGTTACAGGAGAATCAAAAGAGTAACATTTCATGACAAAAATGATATGCAATTTTAATTTAGGGTCCATAAATAATTTTTGATTGGAACACAGCCATACTCAGATACTTACATATTGTCTATAGTTGCTTTCACAGTGTAACAACAATTAAGCAGTTAT